TTTATTTAATTTATTTCTTTAAGATTTTACTTATTTCTTTAAGACTTTTTGTTCACATCCCAGGATATGAACTGGGAACCTTTCCATGTTGGCATGTGCGCTCATTGGAGAGAGACCAAGATGTGGGAGGAAAAGTAGAAAGTCACCCACAAGGGGGGATAGACATGTCGCAATCACTTCTCCTCTCTTCACCTCTCAGGATCTTGGGAACACACGCATTGGCATGATTTTCAAGATGCTGGGTCTGGGACTCAAAGTGTGGTCAGCTATGTGGGAGTCTAGTGCCTTAACTACTATGCCCCCTGTCAGTCCCCCTGTCAGTCTCCCTGTTCTCCTCATATATGATAGATAACACTAGATATTGTTCTTATCTGTAGTTTTGTTTCCATGAGTCGGTATCCCTCTGTTCTCTAGCCCCACCCTTCCCAGCCTATAGTAGTCATTTTATATCTCTCTGCCTCTATGAGGCCATTTTCCCATTTTCCACTTATGTGGGAAAGCACATGGTATTTCTCTTTATACTTATTTTAATGTCCTCCAGGCTCACATATGTAACCTCAGATGACCAGATTTTATCCTTTTTAATGGCAGCATAGTATTCCATTGTGTGTGTGTGTGTGTGTGTGTGTGTGTGTGTGCGCGTGTGTGTGTATGGAATACATATGTATTACATTTTCTTTATTCATGCGTGTGTTGATGGATGCTTTAAGTTATCACTGTATCTTGGCTGTTTTGAATGGTGCTGCAGCAAATACTGGGATCTAGATATTTTTATGATACATCAATTTCCTTTCTTTTGGATATTTGCCTAGTAGGGGGTTGCTGGATCATACGGCAGTTCTGTTTTTAGTTTTTCCTGAACCTCCATACTATTTTCCATAATGACTGTACCAATTTACCTTCCTGTTAACAGAGTAACTTTTTCATCATTATTTCTACAGTTTTGAAACCAAGCATCCTTTCTCATTAATAGCCTAGTCTCTTGATCTGTTTTCTTTCTTACTGAAATTATTAAAGGAATCACTTTTCATAGTTTAAAAAGTAAACTGGAACTATAGGGCTTAAACGAAAAGGCAGCCTCTGTCTCACTTACCTCATCTTTGGTTTCTACTTACGAGAGGTGACCGCTTTCAACTACATAAGCTGTTTCTTCTTGCAGACACATTCATATGATTTTACTTGATTTTATCTTGCACTTAAACTTTGTCCATTTATATTTTACCCAGATGATCAAGGTTTAGCTCTTTTTAAATTTCTTCCAACCCCTAATACTATAATCCTTTAAAAAACTTTCCCTTTCCCCCATCCTCTCAATATAATTACATTAAAAAAAAAAACTTGCTTAAAGTAAATTGTTATTTATATTTACTGTAAATATTGAGTTCACCCACTTATGTAATAACTAAATTTCTTCTTACCTTTTATTAAGTGTATTTCTTCTGTGAGTGAGAGAGAGACAGAGACAGCACTCCATGCTGTCTCTATGCTGTTATCTACCCCCTGGTCTTCAGCCAGCCTCAGATCATGGACAAGCTTTTGCCTAGTGTACTCAGGGAGGTCTTTGGGCCTGAACTGGGAACCCTCCAAGGTGGAATTGTCTGGCAGAGTGTCTTGTTTTTTTGATACACTACCATAAAATTCAATCACTTTTAAAATAAGTTTATATTTTCTTCTTGCAGACACATTCATATGAGATTTTATGATTTTATCTTGCAACTTTAAACTTTGTCCATTTATATTTTACCCAGATGATCAAGGTTTAGCTCTTTTTAAATTTCTTCCAACCCCTAATACTATAATCCTTTAAAAAACTTTCCCTTTCCCCCATCCTCTCAATATAATTACATTAAAAAAAAAAACTTGCTTAAAGTAAATTGTTATTTATATTTACTGTAAATATTGAGTTCACCCACTTATGTAATAACTAAATTTCTTCTTACCTTTTATTAAGTGTATTTCTTCTGTGAGTGAGAGAGAGACAGAGACAGCACTCCATGCTGTCTCTATGCTGTTATCTACCCCCTGGTCTTCAGCCAGCCTCAGATCATGGACAAGCTTTTGCCTAGTGTACTCAGGGAGGTCTTTGGGCCTGAACTGGGAACCCTCCAAGGTGGAATTGTCTGGCAGAGTGTCTTGTTTTTTTGATACACTACCATAAAATTCAATCACTTTTAAAATAAGTTTATATTTTTCATGAGAGAGAAAGACAGACAGACACCCTCATAGGGCCTGCACGCTGTGATCCATTCCCAGCTTCAGCCAGCCCAAATCCCAGGCATTCGCATGTGTACAGTGAGGCCCCAGGATGTGAACTGGGAACCTTCCCATGTTGGTCTAGTTGCACTGGACCACCTCTTGTACAATTTAACTTTTTTTTTTTGAGAGGTTTTTGCTTTAGGGTACATGTGCTCGCTGGAAAGACAGAGACAGAGACAGAAAGTGAAAAATCACCCCCAGGAGGGATGACCACGGCACAATCCCTTCTTCTCCATTCTCCTCTCGGGATCTTGGACATACACACACATGTACCTGGCATGAGTTTAAGCCACTGGGTCTGGGACTTGAACTGCGATTGACTACATGGGAGTCCAGAGACATAGCCATTACACCAGCTGCTGGTCTCTAAATTTGTTCTTAAGGTAAAAATCATTGGGTATTTATTTATTTATTTATTTTATGTAGTTTATGATTAGCTTGCCACCTCAGCCTCAATAGAGCTATAAAACTCATGCTAGTAAATGGAATACACTAGGTAATCTCGTAGTTC